GGGGGGGGGGGGCAGGAGCTCCAACAAGCTGTTTAGGACAGAGAGTGAATACACATACTATACAGAGATGCTGTATGAGAAAAAAATTTGAGTTTGGAACATTGCACAATATAAATGTATTTTAGTAGACCTCAACAATGGAATTATGATCAGTAGAAATGGCCATGGGCCTTTTTAATGCCAGTGTGTAACAATTTCACTTAGCATTTATGTAATATTTTGGACAGAATTGATCAAATATCCAAACTTTATATATTATTATTCACCATATTAGCATTTACCCATTGACTAAGTCATTGCAGATACATGTTATCTATAGATTGTATCCAAAGTAACTTGAATATTTCACCATCATTTTCAAAAACATTTAAGAAAAAGACCGACAACAGATTTAAAAAATAATGTTTTTTATAAGATTTTAGGCCTTTTTTAAAGTACAGTGGACAAAAACAGAATAAATAACGTCATATCTACAAAGAACTATAAACATTTTTTTTGTTGTACATCATTTACAGTTTTACATGTTTTTTACATTTTTGAAATATTTTCAACAGTCAGCATTATTTTCTTTCCATACAGTATTTTTGCAGAACGCTTTCAAACACCAAACTTTTTTTTTTCTTCTTCTAACCTACATCCTAAAATAATTATATAAATATAAACCAGGGTCATACATGCAAACATCCTTGAACACACACACACACACACACTAACTGTTTTATCTGAACACCCTGTGAACAATTTCAAACGCATCAGATCAGTCTGCTCATTTAATGCTCTAAATGAGATTTTAAAAATGTGCAAATGAAACTTCCCCTACAGAAGGTGAGAGCAGACGTGCATACGAACAGTCTTATGTCAAAAGAACATCACAATGTAATCTTCTAAAGAAAAACAAATCTAGTTTAATTTCCAACCCTGTTATTAAGAAACCGTTATCAGTGCCTTACGTTAGAGCTCTTCATAACTTAAACGTCACCACTCACAGCCGCTCTCAGCTTCTGTATAACTCTTATATTAAATAAATACGTTTTGGCAAATCTTCACAAGGACGTGAACAGCTGAAGTGACGCCTGAGGTTTTTATCAGCACCTTAGAGACCAAACTTTCAACCTAACAACGCTCCTGGAATGTGACATCTCAACATGCACCGACACGACTACAAATCTAGCAGGAAGAGTCCGGACTGCTCAGTAGTTGTGCGATTCTCCACCGGTACCGGAGCTTTCTGACAATAAATTAAAGACTACAGGTGGAGAATTTGAAGGTTTTTTTGGGGGGAGGCAGCGAGGCGTCAGGCGTGGAGGTGTTGGCGGCGGAGGTGCAGAGGGAAGTAAGGCCCCTCGGCGTCACTGCCCAGAGAACTGCTGAGCGACTCTTCCCCTGAACTCATCACGTCCTCACAGGAGTCCTCACTGTGGACACAAAGGGGTGTACTGTCAGCATACAGAGCATTACACACTGAGGACACAATCAGCTCAATGTTTTGGATGTGGTGCAAACAACCAACTCGTCTCAGTGGATGATTATGAACTAGTAGTCAATGGAGAATGAGATACAATTCGGTTTTTGTCATACATACATTAACCATGAATACTGAATAGTAGTAACCAACGAGTATTCAAATCATTTAAGTCCAGGGTTCGTACGGTCATTGAAAACCTGGAAAAGTCATGGAAATTCAAAATGCAAATTCCAAACCCTGGAAAAGTTATGGAAAACAATATTTTTCCCAAAGTTTTGGAAAAGTCATGGAAATGTAACTAAAGTCAAATATAATTTACATTTTATCTAATCGCGGAAATAATCTGCGGTCGCGAGCTGTTATGTGCCATCATGACGCGCATGGTGTTATTTTTTAATATATGAAGTCTGTGTGCTCGAGTCTTCCTGCCTGTCGGGCCCATGGATGAATAATAAGAACCAGACTTTTTATTTATTTAAAGTTAACATGTTTGTACATTTAGAAAGCTCCTGGCTGTTAATCAGAGTAAGTGAAATAGGAAGATCTAAAATGTGCCGGGTCATAATCTCTGGGGTTTGAAGGACTACATGTAGACACAACTTTTAAATAGGTACAATACGATTTGAGGAAATAGAATTAAGCTCACTTTCCCTTCTGTTTTTTTTTTTTTTTTTAAATAATTCCTCAGTCGGGGATTTCACGATGATACGGGCAAAAGAACATTTCCTCCTTTTTAAAGCAGAACTAGTTCTCATCGTCTGACCTCATGTTCTGACTTGTGACAGCAGAAATGTGACGCTGCTGAAAGTTCAGGCATGGAGTAAAACGTGAAGAACGAGGGTTTAAAGCCAACATGTGATGATAAGTAGGTTTGTGTTAGTCATCAGCCAGCTGGGGAATGTTTTGGTTCCTTCTGTTTTCCCTGAGCGCAGACAGAAATGTTACTTAAGGCGAGGCCTCTTTAGACGTCATGGAAACGTCTGACCAGTGCCTCGCAGACATGATCCCATCATGCAGCGCTGGCAGATATGAGTGTGTGTGTGTGTGTGTGTGTGTGTGTGTGTGTGTGTGTGTGTGTGTGTGTGTGTGTGTGTGTGTGTGTGTGTGTGTTTTGTTACAACACTTCAGAAACTTGTGTGTTGCTGCAAAGCTGTTGCCCAAGTGACAGCACACTTGCACAACACGTTTATAATGTCCCTCTCTAACTTTAAAAGCACTCGTTGCATATGCGTGACTCTTACTATAGTGTTTGTTTAAAGGAAACAGAAGTGCTTCTCCAGTAGGAACTGCATTTGGTAGAACAAGTGGACCACTAAACATGTTGGGTCACTTCCTACAGTGTTTATGTGTGAGTCATAGCTGAACAAACATCTGGCGCGTGTCTAGTGAAACAAACAAGGTGTGTCTTTCCATTTAAATTCCTCTGTAGTTTGTTTTGTATCAGCTGTTGTCACATGATGTCACTGTGACATCTTCATCACAATGAAACTGAAAACAACCTAATCCATTTGATCTTATCATTGAATTTGGCTGTGTAATTTTTATTTGAGTTTGAGGGTCTAAAGGTATCCTGCTCAGCTGTTTTTAAGGTGTTGTTATGGCGCTTTTCCACTGCAGGGCCTCTTGGCTTAGTACGGTATAGTAAGGCCTTGGTAGGCCAGGCTCACTTTATGCTGCGTTTCCATTACAGTTTAGGAACTGGGGAAATAACTATAGTAACGCAGTGTAGGCGGAGCCGTGACGTCATCTTCAATGCAAAACACAGAAAACCAACATCAGCCGTTAGCTGTTAGCCCTCAGAGCTCACAGTTCCTCATATCTGTTCAGAAACTAGACAAAAGTTAAACAAGTCCAAACCACAGACTGTCTGTGTCATGGAGAATACAGTCGCTGGTTTATTTATGTCTGTAGGCCGTTGTTGTGAGTGTGGACGGTCGGAGTATGCTCCGACCGTCCACACTCACAACAACGGCCTACAGACATAAATAAACCAGCGACTGTATTCTCCATGACACAGACAGTCTGTGGTTTGGACTTGTTTAACNCATTGTACCTGATTGGCTGAGATCATTATTTTATCTTAAACTTTTCATCACATCTCTTTGGCAACTTAAAGGTCCCATTTCATGCTTTTCCGGTTATTACCCGTCCCCTTGTGTGTTATGAAGCTTTTTCTGCATGTAAACGGTCTGCAGAGTCACAAACCCTCAAAGTACACCCTGTAGCGAGTAAAACTCTAACACAGAAAATACCTGTCTATGCTGCCCCAGAATGCCTAGTTGGAGATTTCTCTTTTTCTTCCTGGGTACAGTGACGTGCCCATACCCAAATGGACCCATTGTTCCAAATGGACCAACCCGTGGAGCCGTTACGTTACGTCCGTGGAGCCGTTACGTCCGCGGAGCCGTTACGTTAAGTCCGTGGATTGTTCCAAATTGACCAATCCGCAGACTTCCTCACGCACACACAGTCACACACTCAATCTTTTCTCAGCTGCAGCTCCGCCGATTTCTCCTCCCTGAGACGGCAGGACGCGGCGAGGCTGTGAGTCGGTGTGTGAGCACACACACAAACTCCCAGCCAGGCTGCGGGTGTGTGTATGTGTTCGGGCTGGGTTTCGCTGTCTCACAGGCTGCCACTGGGCTCATAGGGAGGGGGGGGCAGGAGCTCCAACAAGCCGTTTAGGACAGAGAGTGAATACACATACTATACAGAGATGCAGTATGAGAAACAAATGTGAGTTTGGAAAGTTGAGTTTTGAACATTGCACAATATAAATCTATTTTAGTAGACCTCAACAATGGAATTATGATCAGTAGAAATGGCCATGACATGGGACCTTTAACTTATGAGGCAATATACCTAATCTCTAGTGAGTGGCCCAGCCCTTCGTATATTTTTCTGTATGTGGCCCTTGGTGAAAAAAGTTTGGACACCCCTGATGTAGGACATATTCATAAACAATATTCACTGAAATTCAGTTGATCTGTAGCAGTTTGATTCACAATCTGTTTGGCTTAAGACCTCTAAACATAGGTGGTATCTATTTGCAGCCCCTCATCAGCTGTATATGTTAAGAAGTTGTGCAGACTAGGACTTTTTAGAGGCCTCTGTAGATATAAACATTCCATAATTCACAAGAAACAAACAAATCGAGCAATATATGGTATGGCACAATGTGTTGTTTATACTATACATGTAATATCTCTGGGTGTATTAGGTCACCCAAACGACCCAATGTTGGATTTTGATTTGCTTTTTGTGCAAGAGTGATGAAGATGCTTAATTTGGACTCCTGGTTATTTGAACTATTATATATTCCCAATATATTTCCTATACGATGCACTATATCAAGATAAATATTGAAACAGTGACATGAAATTGCATACTTTATACGGAATTAAAGGAAATGTATAAACATCTCTGATCCAAAGAGCAAATCATGACAAGTAGAACAATATATATAAATTACTTTTGGGCAAACCCATTATTTTTCTGCTTTCCTTTGCATTAAAATGAATGGAACAATCTGATCATGTAAGCTAGCTGAGGAAACCTGGTGGTCATGTTTGTTTATTCAAGGCATTTTAGATAAGGGCCATCCCGTTAGGATTTCTCAATTTTTTCAAATACAGTCTATGGTGCAAGCAGTCCCCAATAAATCGTCGTAACGTTACCCACAAACTGTGTTAGCATAAAGCTAACGTTACATAACTGCAAACTGACCAACCTAGAGGGTAGTTTGGACTATAGCTCATGCTAACTGTAACGTAAATTAAGTAGTGAAACTCATATAAAACTATTTTAGCAGGAACTTCAACCATCTCCGGGAGTTCCCTCTTCTTCTTTTTTTGGAAAGCACCGGGCCTCCTTAAGAAGGTGCATTCCCAAGTGTTTACTTCCATTTCTGACCTGAATACGACTACTCCCTGGAAAGGAGCCTAGCGTCCCTACTGCGTCGCTAGCAGCTTTTTAGCTAACATGACACGGGCACAAATTCGTGTATAATGTATGCAACAAACACATGTTGAAAAACGTTTGGCACTTCCTTCTTATGGTGTCATGTAAAGGAGAAGGGTTGTGTGTGTTCCTTGCGACGAAGGGGCTAACTACACAACAGGGACCTTTAAATGGCTGCTTCCCACCCAGCAAGTAGACGGAGCCCAAATCCTTACCTCCCCTGCGAAGCGGAGACAACCACAGTTGGATTTCATCCGGCCCTCTCAATCCCAGGATAAATATGGGGGTGAAATCGGGGACCCGTTCTTCGGTTTAATCGTCCATCTTGGCGTTCATGTTGCTACGTATTGGGGAAAAGGGGTTTATACAAAATATATAAAAATAAACGGAATAGACCGATACGTCTACTTCCGAGGAGGGGACGAGAGGAGACAGGAGGCTCCGCCCACCTCCATGCAGAGGACCAAACAGGCTCTGTGGAATATTCCCATTATATTTTCTTTATTACAATATTTCTATAGCTCAGGGGTGTCCAAACTACTATTGCAAAGCTATGATGTAGACTGTTTTTTTCCTCTCAAAGCATGTTCAAGTATCAAGCATAATTGACCTACATTTGATTAATTTTGCTAACTTAACCTATAAGCAAAACACCCCACTTCTAGTGAGTGGCACAGTCCTTACTATGTTTTTCTGTATGTGGCCCTCAGTGAAAAAATGTTGGACTTTAGCTACTTTAAATGGGAGTATATATTGAGCCCACTGTAATTCACGATATCTTCGGTGACATAATTTTTATCCTCCAAAAATAGTTTGTTTTCAGTTTATTGTGAACACATACAATACAACAACCTTGTTTATAGCATATTTTTAGAGTTATGTACAGCTAACAACAAACGGCATATGATAAGGGTCAGAAATGGTCGAAATGACAACACAAATCAAATGTATGTTTTATTATGTTTCAAGCACATTGTATTTCAATTAACCTCAACTCAAAAATGCATTTGCAAACCCAACCACCCAAAGGAAACCACTTTAAGTGTAAATACCATAGACTGTATATATATAAGGTAAATACACACACACAAATACAGAATCATAAGCCTGAAAATGATAAAAGCTGTCAATTTACCAAAACACAGCAATTTAAGATAGCATGTAAGCATTTTTTTTTGAGGAATTACCCTTGATATCTACAGTCTATGGGTGAACACATATTTCTGTGCGTTACTGTGTTACAACTCAGAATCAGAATAACTTTATTCGTCCCACAAAGGGGACATTTACATTTGTTACAGCAGAAAAGAGCCAAAGACAGCTTAATGATATAGCTTAACTAACACATTGTGAGTTTGCAAAATGTAAAGTTTCTAGAGGAATTACCTGGAAGTTGAACTATGATGTAATCCCAAAAATATATGACTTGTATACAATACATCAGTTTGCAAATGTGGTATATTTCCTCAATAAAGCTGCACACTAAGCTTTAGGTTGAACTTAAATAAATGATTCATCTTTGAGGGCATTTCACAACAAGTCCACACACAGACTGGGGAGTGTTTTTCCACATTCACAGCTGATATGTTGGTAATTAGTCATAAAGTTGGTTGAAGACAATACACACAGCCAGAAGGCACTACGTACGTAATTATAAGGTTGCATCAGGTCCTCAGGAGTGTGTAGCCGCGAGCCAATAACAATAACCTATTTTGAGCGGACTATTTGAACGAGCCAAAATGAAGCTCGCTGATTGGTTAAGGGAAACATCAGTCGGAGTAGGATCGTATCATGGAATAGGTTTTTTTTTCAATTCCAGTGACAGTCATTGATGAATATAAGTTCATTATGGATCTGAAGTAAAATTTTCATGACAATAGTGTTAGATTTTAAGGAAAACGATACCAAAAACATTCGCTGTGTATTAAAATGTTTTCTAGTAAAACCAAAAGTGGGTGAAGTCTATTCTTAAACCCAGGCGTTTGATTGGTTGCTTGTCCTGTGACGTCAGTAAGTGGGCGTGAGCGATATTAACATCAACAAAAGACAGAAGAGAAAGGAGAAAGAAGCGACAAGACGAGAACGACTAACGTTATACGTTACAGCAGAAGAAAACAAATATGTGGATTTGAGCTGCCATAACAGGTAGAGTAAACCATTCATATATATTTAACTGATATTTATAAACCACTGACTAATCGAGGTACATTTGCCTTCTACTATCAACTAACTGAGAAGAGAGAAGAAAAAAAAATCGGATTGAAGTGAACGGTAGACAATTGGACTTAAATTGAGCTATAATCGAAAAAAACACAATACCAATGCTTGTAGTACATTTGATGCTAAATGCATTTCGTTTCGCCTTTTTATTTTGTAAAAAATATTCGCACAATTTTGAAAGAGTTCGTACAGATCATGTTATTGAACGCTAGTTTCTATGTACAGTCAATGTAAGGAAATAGTAACATAAGTAGTGAATGTTTCCTCTTTCATATACGCATCTTAAAATTAAAAACACCTTGCTACAACCCTTTACGCTTCCTTTCTACAGCTAGATCTGTTTTTCTCGTCTGTTGTTATTGGTATCCCATTGGATTTATCTCCTGTCAAAGCAGAGCCCTTTAACACGATTATATTAACCAAGATAAACCCCCAGGAGCACACGTATCAGTTTAATACATTAACAATGGGCATTACTCGATAATACATTCGTTTTTTCTTTGGTTATGTTGATAAACACTATTCTGAAAACCTCTTAAGGTTTGGAGTATGAAACAGCAGCCCCTCCCCCGCTCCTCGGAGGATTTTAAACAGCTAGCTACCGTTAGCTTCCTCGGCTATTATCCAGTAAAACGAAAATAAAAAAGGCTCTCCAGGCCCGTGAGTTATGTTTTTGTGTGCTTTAGGTTGTTTAGTAACAGAGAAAACCTTGAAATTGTAGTTTTTCTGTCGGCTAGAGAACAGACGGTTTGTCCACCGTAGACTGAAACCTGACACCGAAGCCCAGCTGAGAGAAGAGGGCGGATCTTCGAGCTGTGACCCGTTAGGTCTCAGAGCAAATGTAGGCCGATGATCTGAAGCCATACAGCCAAGATACTGATCAATAACAACCCTATTTTTAATCAAACATGGATACATACTGTTATTATAATATTTGACCTGGTATTACATAAAAACCCATATTATCTTGGGCCATCATAATCAGAAATAGGGATTTCCCATGGTTTATATGGTGCATACATACAAATACGTCTATGCTGTCGTCTCCAAATGTGACTCGTCATTAATTAAAATAACCATTAATTTGATCAGAGATTTTACACAGTACAATTGGTAAAAATGAGTTTGTTGGTCTTCAAATATAACTCCAAGGTAATGTTTTTTAGTTGGGAGAAGACACATATAATGTTGAGATGAATACCTTATCAGATAATCATAAATCCATTTGCACAACAAGATAACTTAAATGGTGTGTGACACAACAATAAACTTATTTGAAAGATTGACAATTGATCTGGATTATAGTTTTGACCTCTGAGAAATGCATTTGTAAAAAAGGGGAATTTCTTTAAATGAATACTTGTTTATGTTGAACCTGGTTGCTTTCTGTTTTGCAGAAACTAAGAAATCACTTCCTGCAGTGCCAGCCAAGAAATGGATGCCTTCAAGCTGTTGAAGGAGCTGAGGGTGAACTATGAGCAGGAGGCTCATTATCTCCCCAAAGAGACGGGGCTGAGGCTCATTGAATCCACTACAGAGGTGAGCACATCGAAAAACTATCATTATTCTACAGTACAGTCAGTAAATGAGGAGTATTCTGAAAAATGTATTTTGATTGTAGTGACCTTGTTGATGTGTGGTTATCTCTATTGAAAGTAAAAACAACAATACATGCCAGCCACGGGTCTAAGCTGCTCTGTAGTGTGACTAGCAGGCCTATTTTCTTTTGCCAAAATGCAGGAAGTCAGCAGTGCGTGGCCGATTAATCCGGTTATTGAACAGAACGTCTTTGTTTTCCAGGATGACAGTCGGATTTCAGCCAAGTGCAGAGATGCCAAAGTGGAGGATCTGTGGAGTCTGACCAGCTTCTTCGGATACAGCACCCAGACGTTCGTCCTGGCTGTTAACTTGTTGGACAGATTCCTGGCCATGATCAGGGTACGAGATGCTCACACCTGATTGGACCAGACAAGCCACAACAGCTTTAGCGTTTGTAAAAGCCTGAAAACCTCTCCAGCATTTGTCATAGTATAAATTCTTAAAAAAGGGCTGCACAATTGAGATATCCCATATTCTATATACTTAAAACATATTTGTTTAGTACAGAATCATTTATTACACTTGTTAAAGGTCACCTATTATGCAAAATCCACTTCTCCATGTCTCTTCTACATCAACGTGTGTAAAGAGACTCTGGAAGTTTCAGGAACAAAGATTCTCTCTCTTTTTGTCCTGATTTACATAAAAACCTGTCTGAAAACGAGCTGATCAGATTTTTGCCACTTTATGATTTCATAACGATTTGTTGGCTTGTGTAACCATTAGCCAATCAGCAACCACCTTATCACCTGCATCTCCTCCTAGAGCACCATTGTTTTATTTTTAACCAAATATCATGTTTTGTATTTATCTGAGACCTATAATATATTGTTGAACAAGAGTATAATATGGGACCTTTAATGGAAAATGAATAAAATATAATATCTTTGATCTATGAAATGAGCTTAGTGATGTCAAATGTTCACGTTTCTTACTCACGTTCCCCCCCAGTCGTCTCAGATCCAGCCAAAGCACCTCTCCTGCGTGAGCGTCAGCTGCCTCCACATGGCGGCCAAAGTGACGGAGGAGGAGTGCAACCTCGCCCCCCCGGTGGAGCTCATCCGCATCGGACAGTGCCGCTTCACCGCCTCCGACCTCTGCCGAATGGAGAAGATCGTCGCAGAGAAACTCAACTTCAAGTCCAAAGCCGTCACTGCCTTAACCTTCCTGGACCTGTACCACCAGATCGCACTTTTAGACTGCACAGACAGGTGAGTGAGACACAGGAAATCCAGTGCAGTTTAAAGAAATATCTCACACACTGTAATGATCATTGGGGTGTGAATTACTCGCCTGATGTTACCCTGAATACGTGAGGGAAACTGCTCTTATGCTTCCAGGGGGAACGAAGAATCCATAAAAGTAGAAAAGTCTTAATTTAAATATCAACAGCAAAACTATATGAAGACATGCGCATGCCTACACGTGCAGTATAATCCCATTCATTCAGGACTATTCTCACAAATGCTCAAAACACATGCTTTTCCACTATTTAAAAACACTTCTGCATACACAGCAAAATGCATGCGTGGAAAGAATTGAGCATGTGACTGGATAAATGGGACTTTGATAATACTGCGTTATGTAAGAGATTTAAAGGATGTTTTGTTGTTGAACACGATTCACTAAGACCTTTGGATTCTTCGCTCACCGGGGAGGCATGCGAGAAATACAAAGTTATCTTTAAGCATTCAGGTAACACAGCAGAGCGAAGGGCATTTAAATGATCGTTTTATGGGGTGAAATAGTACTCATATAATATAATATAAGTCATAATAAGAGTTGAGTGACATTCCAGCTGGGTGTTTTCCAAATCACGAAGTTTTATCGATGTCATTTTAAGGAAAATCTACTTAAAGAGACTTGCTGTAGAGACGTAATCCACTAAAGTCAACATTTCGTTAACCTTTTTAGCAATCAGCAGGAAATGTTTGCAGCTCTTGTTGTGACACATTTCTGAAGAATGTCAACATTCAAACCAGAGTTCAGATCAGTCGAGTCACTTCAGGTCAACCTGATGCACCAGCTATCAGTGTGTGATACTGAAAGTCACTGATAACATTTGTTATTGTCCAACACAATTACATAATCCCGGCAATGTGTATATTCAGTTTCGGTTTTACAGTTTTTTCTGCATTGTGGGTCTTAAAAATCTTCATTCAATACTACATGTATCTTATTTTCTATTCTTACATTATTAATTCTGTCTGTCTGGGAATTGTCAATGTCCCCAAACCACCTCTAAACCTGAATGTGTGTGTGTGTTTGAACAGAAAGGAGATCCTCAGCCTGGAGAAACTGGAAGCTCAACTCAAAGCCTGTCTGTGCCGGATCTCCTTCTCTAAAGCAAAGGTAGGAATTCACTGAGGGTCAAAGGTTACACAGTGTTAGTGCTCAGCAGCCTAATGGCACACTCCGAAATTAGCCCTTATTGTTATGATGCTATAAGTTTGACATTCATGAGTCTGTTTTAAAACACATTTCTTTGTGTTTATCCCTGTCCCTGACTGCACTTCCTGTCTCTTTTTGTTCATCAGCCGTCCGTCCTAGCCTTGTCTCTCCTGAGGCAGGAGATCCACGCCGTTCAGTCGGAGGACATGCTGGAAATAGCCCGTCACATCCAGAGACACCTCAAGGTAAACATGCATGCATTTAGCACACAAAAGGGGATAACATTAGAGAGTAAATCAATCATTTGGCATGATTCTAGTGATGTTATAGTCGCTCCATTAACTGCTGGTGTCTGCTACATTTCGTGGATTTCGTTACCTCATAGTGATATTTCTTGCTGAATGAAATGGAAGTGAAAACAATGTAGAATCGTAAGTGATGTATTCTGAATAGCAGCAGAAGTAGAGAGGGGGTGGGAGAGGTCTAGTTATCCCCATCCTGGACCTGATCCACAACTTTTTTTTCTAGCCATGGCTGTCGTTACGTAACTCGGTGTTGTTTGTGTTGTGACGGCTTGAGGGGAAATGCGACTTTTAAATGATTGCACCCACAAGGATTTTTGAAAACTCTCCGATTTCCTGAATATAAATGTATTCGTTTATACCTCCCTGCCACTTTTATGATGGATTAAAGAACTAGTGTTGGTGTATTTCATTGTTTATTCAAGGATGACATGTTATTTAAGAAGTGTTCCTTTTTAAAGTATGTTGTGCTTTGGAAATGGAATGGAACGTGTATTTATAGGTCGTCTAAGATCCTGGACTTTAGCTGAACCCTCCCACTTACACACTTTTGGGTTCAGGTGTTGCCTGAGCAGCTTATCAGGTTTCAAACATACAGACCAGTTTTAACATGGGTTGTCTCAGCCTCCAGACATGTAAACGGAAACCAGGTTACCGTTTAAGTACACCGAGGGTAGCGGACCAATGAGCTAAACTGACTTGCTGTGGTTTCAGATTACTGACGTGGAGCTGCGGCTGTGGAGTGAGCGGGTGGCTCGCTGTCTGTCGGACTACTCCTCGCCTGAATGCAGCAAACCCAATCACAGGAAGCTGCAGTGGATCGTGTCGCGGCGGACCGCTCAGAACCTGCACAGCTACCGCACCGTGCCCGAGCTGCCCACCATCCCAGAGCACTGCTGGGACGAGAGCGAGAGGTGAGCGCCCCAAACGCACCTGAGCAGAAACCGACACTTTGAGAGTCTCAAACACACCTGAGCAAGATACTGTCAGAGCCCAACACACACCTTATAGAGAAACTAACACTGACAGAGTCTCAAACACACCTGAGCAAGACACTGTCAGAGCCCAACACACACCTAACAGAGAAACTGTCACTGTCAGAGCCTCAAACACACCTGAGTAAGACACTGTCAGAGCCCAACACACACCTAAGTAGAAACTGTCATTGTCAGAGCCCAACACACACCTTACAGAGAAACAGTCATTATCAGAGCCTCAAACACCTGAGCAGAAACTGTCACTGTCCGAGCCTCAAACACACCTGAGCGAGCTATTTAAAGAGCATTAAACACACCTGAGCTGTCAGAGCCTCAAACGCATCCGAACAAGATACTTTTAAAGCCTCAGACACTCCTGAGCGAGACACTTTAAGAGTCTGAAATACCCCAGAGCCCAGAACTCCCCTTACAGAGAAACTGACACGTATGGCGCATTTCCACTGCAGCACGTAGCACGGTTGAAGCGTGCCGTGCCAAACCCGGTCCGTTTTTTGTTGCGTTTCCACTAGGGGTAGTTCCGGCTAGCGGATACTTTTTCAGGTTTGCCTGGCTTCTCCAAAATTCCAGGGTTCTTTTCCGGGCCAACAAACCGGCTGAGTATGCTGAACTAGGTGGAGGTAGAAAGCGCGGGGGGGGGGCCCCCAAGGGGCTACAACTGACGAACAAAATCTTGAACAATATTGACCGTGATTTAACTTGTTGAATACACGTTTCAAAAGTGAGTGCCGAAGTAACAACATACTGATAACCGAGGGTCAAAAACCGATGAATTAAGGGCGTGTTGACAAGGTGTCTGCAAGACAGTGACGGCAGGCGAAAAACCTTTTAAAAGCCTGTTTTCTGAATGGAGATCGGCTAAGCTAACGTGTATATGCTCGCGAGGGGCCGCGCGCGGTCGCTGCAACACCTGACATAACATCTATGGGTGGTAGTGTAAGGAAAACTGTGGTGGGATGTGTTGGGGTGCTGTGGTGGAGAAGGGGTTACCAAGTGTGNCAACTCAGTGAACAACAGATACCAAGGATGCTGGCTGATGAAGAAGACAAAGTAATCTAGGTAGCCAATATAAGGCTTAGCAGTGCAGATACATTTGGGCTCACTATTTGGCAAGATTACTAAGCCTTATATTGGCTACTTACAGTGCAGATAAATGTGGGCTCACTATTTGGCAAGATGACTAAGCCTTATATTCGCTGACTTACAGTACAGATAAATGTGGGCTCACTATTTGGCTAGCAACCGGTCACAGTTGCCCTGTTTATCTCATGTCTTGTAAAAGGGTTATTAATGATTCATAAAGTGTTCACAACCTAATTAATCAATTAATTTCAAACTATTCGTAAACTCTTTATCAGGGTAGTCTTATTGTAAAGTGGTACCGAAACTTTTTGAACGGACAATTTGTTCAGAAATGTTTCACACGTTTAAGACTTTTTGTATTCTCATTTCGGTCCTTTTTTCTGTTATGTTTGTCATATTTTTCAAGTTTTTTAAAACATTTATTTTTTGACAACTTTTGGAAAAAAATCATCCTTTTTTCTGACATTTTCCCTTTTTTTTTTTTTAAGACAATTTGTCCAAACTTTTTTCAGACACTTAAAAAAAAATTAGAGAATGTGAGACACTGGAGACACTCTTTGTGAGCGGTGTCAGATAAAGATTAGGATGCATTAATGTTTTATTATGTGTACTATTAGATACCAGTGGTGGATATGTATGTTTTTTAAATATTTTTGAAACATTCTTCAGACGTTTCAGACACTTTTAAAACATTTTTTATAAAAAAATTCACAACATATTTTTACCCAACAAAATATTCTGCTTCACCCCAATTGCTTGCATTTAGTGTGGAAACATTTTCATTTTGTCCAAAAGAAGTATTTAACTGTCCTAATTGTTGTTCTTTAAATGAATGATGCTGATGCATTTTCCTACATTTCCCAGGATACATTGGGGTGGTGAAGGACGCCACAGAGTCTACGGCGCGTGTTGAGCTGCACTCGACCTGTCAGACCATCTCAGTGGATCGACAGCGCCTCACCACCATGTACGAAACATTATTATTATTATGTAATCATTTCAACAAGGACCATGCATACAAATACATTGATCCCAGAGAAGAGAGCAGTTATGCCAGATTGTAGCGAGTGGCTCATTTCCATCTGCAGTCCTTAGGCAATCCAGTTGCAAGGCTTTATCATCATGTGCACATTAGCTACAGTGTAGATATGGCAGTGAACAAACAGGCTTACATTTTCCAAACAGGCTGGTTCCTTTAGTCTGAATGTGTGTTTGGTGGCGTGATCATTATTATTTAGAGTCATTGCGTGCCTATCAGACTAAAGGAACCAGCCTGTTTGGAAAATGTAAGCCTGTTTGTTCACNTTTAGAGAAGACCAGGAAATGATGGATACACGGATCGTGTTCAAATCAATAAACTCTAAATAATAATGATCACGCCACCAAACAAACATTCAAACTAAAGGAACCAGCCTGTTTGGAAAATGTAAGCCTGTTTGTTCATTGCCATATCTAAACTGTAGCTAATGTGCACATGATGATAAAGCCTTGCAACTGGATTGCCTAAGGACTGCAGATGGAAATGAGCCACTNTTAATATAAAGGGAGGTCAGGTACTCTTTAAAACAGCTGCTAGTTATGGGTACTTTTTACTGAAGTACATTTCAAAGCCTCTTTACTTTGACTTGAGTAAAGAAGTTTAGTCAGTACTTCTACTTTCACCAGAGTATTTTTAAACACGAGTATCTGTACTTCTACTTGAGTGAAGGATGTGTGTACTTTTGCCATCTCTCTAACCTCACATTGACCTCCATCCTCTCCACCTCAGGGGGGCTAAGAGGCACAGCGGGCAGACCTCGACTCACGGCCGCACCCCGATGTACGGCTCCCAGACTCCGATGTACGGGACGGGATCCAGAACGCCCATGTACGGCTCTCAGACGCCCGTACAGGAAGGTGAGAGGGGGAATAATTATCTTTATTCGACACAAAGTACTGGACATAAAATACACACTTTTCACACATACATGTACATATATCTAATATTTATACATGTATATATGTTTATCTTTAATTTTGTTTTTGTGTGGTCACATTAGCATTTATATTTCTATACGTTTAAACCCTGTAGCTATTGTAAATACAACTAAAAAGTTGTTTATAATTCCCGTGAAATAAAACATATTTCTCACTTTCTCACGTTGTTCCTCCAGCTGGAAGCCGCACGCCTCACTACGGCTCTCAAACTCCATTGCATGATGGGAGCAGGACGCCGGGTCAGAGTGGAGCCTGGGACCCCAGCAACCCCAACACACCCTCCAGGTAACACACACACACACACACACACACACACACACACACACACACACACACACTACACGTATGTTATACAATAGAACAATACAAATAAAACCATATAAGCACTAGCTGTATTGATGCGTGACGGGGCTCTTATTTTGAAAAACATGCATCACCTGGGGCTTCCTTTAAGGATACTCTGGCCGTTTCTCAATGTCGAGTACACATGCTGCAGAGCCACTATTTCAAGTATACCATGTCATAGAGTGGCGCAGAATGCTGGGCATTTAACATGTCCTTTAAACCTTTAAACAGTCCTTCGGCGCTACTCAATGACGTAGTATACTTGAAATAGTGGCTCTGCAGCAGGTGTACTCGACATTGAGAAACGGCCACTTACTCTATGGGGCTCTTGTTTTGAAAAACATGCAACACCTGGAGCTTCCTTTAAGGATGCACTTACTCTATGGTGCTCTTATTTTGAAAAACAAGTATGATCCTGAGCTTCCTGTTGGGATACAGTCCCCCCTTGGGTCTTTTAGTTTGAAAAAAATTCTAACCCTGAGCTTCCTGTGAACTGTATTGGGCTTTTATTTTGAAATGTGCCACACACACACACACACACACACACACACACACACACACACACACAGCACAGTATTTATTTTAAAGGGCTCCTATGATGCAAAATGCACTTTTTGATGTGTATACGTAACTCTGTGTCCCCGGTGTGTCAGGAGACATGTTTTCTATACATTTGTATATATCTGAGACCCTTAATATATGCCTAATGATTGTATAATAGGAGACCTTTAAATAAGTGTATTTCTTTTCACGTTGTTCTGTATTTCTAACGGTCTTATCCTGTCTTCTCCAGGAATGACGAGGAGTATGACTTTGGGTACGACGATGAACCGTCCCCCTCCCCTCAGGGTTACACCGGGACCCCCAACCCCCAGACCCCCGGGTACCCAGAGGTCCCCTCTCCTCAGGTTAACCCTCAGTACAACCCTCAGACGCCGGGCACGCCTGCTATGTGAGTCTCAACACACTCAGTCAACAGCAAACGTGTTTCAAATGCTTTGTCCCATTTTGGTGTCAAATTCAAATGTTAGTCTTGACTTCTTCGGCCCGTACATCCAACCTGAAAACACTGACTCATGAAGTGAAACTGCTTTATTCATTTTCCTTCATTGTTTTAGTCAGTTATAAATATCCTGTGTGTATAATTCCTCTGCGGTGAAAACCCCTCAACGTTTGGATGTTAAATGATCAGAGGAACGGGCTGAGCGTACTTTGAGTGGCTTCATGAGGTATCACGGGTTTTAGACAATTGTTTTTGAGAGGAGGAGATTTCCGTAGGTAATTGTGATCGTAAGATGTCAGCCTCTGCAGAACGTTTACATGCACTGACACCTTTTAGAGCACACTGCAGGGAAGGGAACCCCCCACAAAGCATGAGAGGGCCCCTTTAAGTCCAGAGGAGAACACCAGCAGTAACATGTTGAAATCTATCTGTGTGACGCCTCCAGGTTTTTCATTTAGTCTCATCCTGTGTCCAATGTCCTTCGTCATATTTATCACCTTCATCCTGTTTGATTTAGTCAAGTTTTAGTCGACTGAAAGTCTGAGCATTTCAGTCGTATTTTAGTCAAAGAAAACTAACTATTTTAGTCTACTTTTTGTCAATGTAAACTACATTTTCGGCTCGTCCTTTTTCCTCAACGATATTCCTTTGACGAACACGTTGCGTCATAGTTTTAGTCAACCAAAGTAACACTAGTTCAGACCCTCTGTAACAATTTGTGTGTGTGTGTGTGTGTGTGTGTGTGTGTGTGTGTGTGTGTGTGTGTGTGTGTGTGTGTGTGTGTGTGTGTGTGTGTGTGTGTGTGTGTGTGTGTGTGTGTGTGTGTGTGTGTGTGTGTGTGTGTGTGTGTGTGTGTTCAGGTACTGTCCGGTGTGTAAGAAGCACCAGCTGGCCACGAAGAAGCTGGACCTCTGGTTCCTGCCCGAGGTTCTCATCATCCACCTGAAGAGGTTCTCCTACACCAAGTTCACCAGAGAGAAGCTGGACAGCATCGTGGACTTCCCCCTGAGGTACACACACACACACACACACACACACACACACACACACACACACACACACACACACACACTCCTGCAGGTTCACACTGTAATGAATCTGTGTGTGGGTGTGTTGCAGAGAGCTGGACTTCTCCGGCTGCCTCCTGAGGAAGAGTCAGTCCAATGGGGAGCCTCCGAGCCGCTACGACCTCATCGCTGTGTCCAATCACTACGGAGGACTCAGAGACGGCCATTGTACGTCCCTATTGGTCTTTTCTTTTCAAGTGGTCATGTTCAAGGCTTTATTCGTCACATTTAACTGACCTGTACACTTGTTATCGTGTGTGTTCCCTCAGACACCAGCTACGCGCGGAACAAGGACAACGGTCAGTGGTATTACTTTGACGACAGCAAGGTGACGTACGCCAGAGAGGATCAAATCGTGGTGAGTACGAGACCCAGCGCTGTAAAGCCTCCTGTTCCTGTGCTCCTTTCAGACATTCCCTTTGTTCTGATGTCAGTATGATGTCATTACATCGCTGCCCAATTACAGACACATACAAAGAAAAGGTTGAAAAATATAAGGTCACCTATTATGCAAAATCCACTTCTTCATGTCTCTTCTACATCAACATGTGTCCCCTCTTCTCCATGTCTCTTCTACATCAACATGTGTCCCCTCTTTTTCATGTCTCTTCTACATCGACATGTGTCCCCTCTTCTCCATGTCTCTTCTACATCAACATGTGTCCCCTCTTCTTCATGTCTCTTCTACATCAACATGTGTCCCCTCTTCTTCATGTCTCTTCTACATCAACATGTGTCCCCTCTTCTTCATGTCTCTTCTACATCAACATGTGTCCCCTCTTCTCCATGTCTCTTCTACATCAACATGTGTCCCCTCTTCTTCATGTCTCTTCTACATCAACATGTGTCCCCTCTTCTCCATGTCTCTTCTACATCAACATGTGTCCCCTCTTCTCATGTCTCTTCTACATCAACATGTGTCCCCTCTTCTTCATGTCTCTTCTACATCAACATGTGTCCCCTCTGTGGAAAGAGACTCTGACATTTTCAGAAGAAAGATTCTCTCTCTTTTTGTCCTGATCCATTTCNGTTAGTTTTACTCGCTACAGGTGTACTTTGAGGGTTTGTGACTCTGCAGACCGTTTACATGCAGAAAAAGGCTTCATAACACACAAGGGGACGGGTAATACCGGAAAAGCATGAAAGGGACCTTTAAGATATATGTTAGCAAAATCAATCAAATTTAGTAAATTATTTTTGATACATGAATATGCCTAAAGCCTGCGTCCACACTGTCCTGAAATTGACACCCGATGGACACACAATAAAGGAAATGTTCAAAATTCGGCTTGTGATCGTAGCAACATCGGGCCATTCGTGAGGCATCTTAAGCCATCGTATGACCGCCGGTGGAGTTTCTCAGGCTCCGGCAGCAACTTCGTGAGCGGCAACTTCGTAAGGCACTCGTGAGGGCATCTTGTCAAATCGAGAGGGCATCTTGTCATCATCGGTGCCATCGGGCATTCGCCCTCACTCTGATCGGGGCGAATGCCCAATGGCACCGATGATAACAAGATGCTCTCACGATGGCCTTACGAAGGGCAAAATTGACACACGAATTCAACACGAAAATGAACCTTCGCAAGGTCCTTCGGCAATTTTTTGGCATGCCAAAGATTTTTGCCACCGCTCACGAAGTTGCTACCGGAGCCTGAGAAACTCCACCAGCGGTCATACGATGGCTTAAGATGCCCTCACGAATGGCCCGATGTTGCTACGATCACAGCCGAATTTGAACTTTTCCTTTATCGTGTGTCCATTAGGTTTTTTATTGCATAACAAAATCATGTAAACATATTATGTAAATAACCCAATTTGTGTTCTGTGAAACTGGAAAGGATATAATATATTATTTTGAAGGCCAGTTGACAGGAAGTTGTTGTTGCTATGGAAACAACATGACGGAGAAAACTTAATATCTTCTACATATAAAGACGGATAAAGTAAAGAACAAAGTCGGAAAATATCAGTACAGTATCATAGTACTTTAACATAATCGTTTTTGTTACTTTCGTTGCAGTTGTATGTCTTAAATGTAATGTAAATGTTGCCTTCGTGTGTGGTTCGGAGCCATGTTCGTGCGAAATTCACAATTCAATATTCGTGTGTCCATCGGGTGTACATTTCGGGACAGTGTGACAGGGGCTTTAAGGAAAAAAACAGCCTATATCACAGCTCTCCATAGGGTTTCTCCAAAGTGTTGGCAGCTCATCCCTTAAAGGTCACCTATTATGCAAAATCCACTTTTTCATGTCTTTTATACATAAACATGTGTCCCCTCTGTGTAAAGAGACTCTGAAAGTTCCAGGAAAAAAGATCGCTCACTTTTTTGTTCAGTTTGGACACCCCTGGTCTACATCTATCATTTCTCAATCCGTAATGTTTTTTTGTTTGTCTGAAAAACTGAGTATGATAATGTAATTCTGATGTGTCACTCACTTTGCAGGTAGCTGTATCCAGTGGGGAGGTGGGCTTAACCAGGGGAGAGAATGAAGAACTTCGAACCCTGGGGACGCCAGAGGCTGTCTTTTCTCCTGGAAAAGGCCGCCTCTAGGGAAGCCAAGATGTGGAAGCTCTACGTGCCAAAGAAGTACTCCTCACAGGTGAGTGTTTAACCCTGGTTGCATCGAGTAAAGGACAAAATACATCTCACAAACAAAAACATTCTGGTCACTCAAGCAACAGACTCATCAATGTTTCCCCAAAAGACAACTAACTCAATAAGTGACTATTTTTAATATATGATTTATTTGTGACATTGTCAAACACAGAAAGCATACATACATACATAGACCCTCACATGTACAATAAAGGGAGTGAAAGAGACACTTCTACCAGGGTCAACAATACCAAAAAAACAAGCAGACCTTAAACACAAAAAACTGAAATAAATAATAATCATAACAACAAAATCAACATATACAAGACATTCTAAGGCATTAAGCTACTCGACATACTGTAATAACTGACTTTTATAAATACTTTGGTGTATGTTTCTGGAGAAAGCGCAATCTCAAATCTTGGCAGCATCAGTCGCAGTTCAGAGCTTGCTCGGGTCAACTATCCAAGACAGCATCAAAATAGAAAATACTCAAATGTATATTGTTTTGATTGAGCTAATTCAATATTAATACATACAGGAAAGCCCTCCCAAAGGTTATCACATCACATCGTTTTTGGTAAAATACGTCACATTACTACAAACCTTATAATAAATATGTTTTTAAATCATATATTGAAACAATTAGTTTCAAGTCTCAAGGTAAGAATTGACCAAAATCATGTATAGGGGCCGAACTAATAATATGATAGGAATGTCGTACAAGTATGTACACAGTTCACATTACAATTTACTATAAAGTAAACCAATATAATGTTTTTTTAAGGAGGTTTTTTAATTCTAGAAATACATATATTTCGTTTTGGTTTTTGAGAAGAGAGTTAGAATCTGTAAGAATTTCTAATGATATGATTTTAAGACTGTAAATACATGGATGACTTGTGAAGATGGAGGTTTTTTTCCAAAGTAGTCTGTTCCCAGCTCGGATGCATCACTTACAGACATGTAAGCAGTGAGTCAGAGTTCTGTTCATTCAAGTAGCTTTTTTAAAATATATTTGCTTTGGTGTTTAAAGGTGCATACATAAACACAGTAAGAAAAACTAAAACATAAAATAAGAGCAGTTATTTAAGTATACTTTAATTATTATGAAATGAAGAACTGTGTACAAGAAAAATAAATATACATTAAAAGAAACAATAAATAATACAGCAATTTGAAAAAATCGAGTACATCTGAGTTAAAAGTGGAAGAGCTGTTCAGTTTTGGAGAAGTGGAAGTATTGCGTAGAAATGTTAAATATTGTCAGAGGGTAAAAGCATCACAGTACGGAGTTTGAGGAAAGGTGTGTGTTAATGAATCAGCACTGACGCAACGTTTCAACACACTCAGCTGATCTCACCCAGTTTCCATGTCTAGAGACACACCTTCAGACGATGTCTAAACGTTGGTTTCATCACACCCCAGTTTACAGGAAAGATGTCGGATACCTGTGAAATCATTTCCGTTCCGCTAATTCAGATCCCCTTTTACCTTGTATTTTTAAAAGATAAAAGTTTATTTTAAGTCAATGATTCTTTTATAACTGTGTGTTTTTTTTTTTACTTGTCATTATCATATCCCCCCTTTTTTTTATACTCAAACATTTACGTTTTTCTTCTGGTTAAACAATGGTAAAATGTCACTTTTGATATATTCATTTTTCTCAAGAAATAGAGTTTTTTGTTCTCAAATATTCTCCTTTTTGGCACATACCATTTATTCTAATTATCATTAGCTTAATGGTTATCTTGACACCATTTCTTATTGAGTAAAACCACATTTATATTCTTGATCATGAGAAAACCTTCCGTCTGTATCCTCATCATAAATAATGACCATTTTCTTGAAAGAGAATATAGATTGATAATATGTTGCGATCACAAAACCTCCCCAAATCTGAAATGTGAATATCACCCAGAACACTGTATATTATCTCTGATTATGAGCTTTCTTACATCACATTAGCTTTCAAAGTAATAAGCAGAAGCAGTGTATTGAGACATGGTGTCACTGTGATGATGCCTTGCCGTGATTACAAGTCTATGAATCACTTTTTATTAGAAGGCATTGTTGTCATAACTATAACTCAAGTGTCAACGCTATAATGTCCTCGAACAGAGACTGTCACTGTTGTGCAATAACCACGGCCTTTAATAATAAACAATGTTGCACAATACCACTGCTTACGTGCAATACACACTTATTCTTACAATGTATTCATGTTTTTACTGGCTCCTTCAACACTCTTATATTTCTACTTCATATTTTAAACGCTTATTTTATTTATTTGTTTATTCCCCACATGGCAGTTATTTTAAAACAAAACATGTAAACTTATACTGTTTTTAAAAAAAAAATTATATAGCACATGGTAGAAAGGAACAGGGAGAAGAAAATGTTATTCGACTTGCCCCTTCTAAAACAAAAAATGAATTAACCATAAAAAAGTAAAATAAAAGCAATATTCTTTCAGTCACAGTTGCTTACAAATACTGAAACATATAACCAGAACACAAAACCAGAAGACATTTTGTACCATGGATGTGTATTTATTTGATACCATTGTTGTAACGTGTGCTGTGCCTTGGCTGAGGGACACGTAATGACTTCTGATTGTGCTGTGCTCTCAGGATACAGACGTCACCCCTGCCCAGCGGGACGAGGCCGTGCGATGGCTGACGGATCTCCACAGCAGCCTGCAGCTGTACCCAGAGACCCTGGTGTTAGCTGTTAGCATACTGGACCGCTTCCTCGCTCCCATCAAGGTACGCTGACGCCAGCAGTACTCCTTTAATCATGCTAAGTAGTCTCATTTAGTCACTTAATGGCAGCTGCTGTTTTTAAGACACATTTACCAGTGGGACATTGAGAACAAGACTTGAAC